TGATGAAGGCGAAGATTGAGGTGATGAAGGAGGCGATCTGTATGTGCGCCAGCTTGGCCGAGAAGTAGCCGGTCAGGCCGTGGGTGACGAGGCGTAGCCGCCGATGCTTGGCGACCACGTCCTGCACCAGGTCCAGCGTCCTGCCGGGGGCGTCCGTCACCCTGAGCCGCTGTGCCAGGGCGTGGTGCAGCCCGGTGGGCACGGCAAGCGACAGGACCAGGGCGACCATGAAGCACACGACGTTTGGGATCCACACGATCCACACGGCGCCGTAGAAGAGCCGGCCGAAGAGCGCGCCCCAGGCACCAGCGTACGGCACGAACGGCCACAGTGGCGCGAAAGTCTCCTCGGAGAGCAGCGTGTCCAGGCACATCTGGACGTAGAGGACAACGATGTAGGTTGTGCTGACCGCGGACAGCACAACGCTGGTCCGTCTCGTGTGTACCACCCACGTCTGTGTGTTCAAGGTATTTTTTTTTAGAGAATACAACACTGCAGGGTCGGGAATGTTACTTTAACGAATGACGAATTTACGTTAAAGTTTTACTTAACGTTAAGGTACCGCGTTGTTGTTCGTTGTTTTTGTTTTCAGACTGACCCCAATAAGACTGTCTCTACCTGAAGCAGCCCCCCCCCCCTCCCCTCGCTTCTCCTCTAGAACAGGGCAGCAGGGGCTCGGGTGTGATGTGTCTATTGCGACGACCGCTGCGCTCAGCTTCGTCCCCGCCGCCCCCCTCCCCCCTCACCTCCGCTGTCTCGGCTCCGTGGCCTGTTCGAGGGGACTGTCCTTTTCTTCGCCCTCCTGTTGTTTTTTTTTGTTTTTGTTTTTTTGTTTTTTTTAATGATCGGTACGTTATTGAGAAGACAGTAACGGCATAATGTCATTATCGAATAAACTGGTAAGTACAGGGTGGTCCACAGACCATGCGTATGCTGTACCGCATGCAGGCGAGCGGGTGGGCTTGCCTACCCTCGCTCACCGCGGCGCCTTATGGCCCCGTACAAGTATGCAACCCGGCCGCACGCCTGCATCCGGTACAGAATAAGCAAATAAAGGATTGGGTCTTTGGACCCCCTGTACATGCCATGTACACTTATTTAAAGTATACAATCGATGTACACATTTTAATTGACAGAGTACCCGAACCCATTTTATCCTAGGTTTTTAGCCAGCCCTTCTGCTTTTAAAAAAGCATTAAAGCGGGCTTATGCAACCGCTCTCGTGTCCGTCCGTCCGTCCGTCCGTCCGTCCGTCCGTCCGTCCGTCCGTCCGTCCGTCTGTCTGTCTGTCCGTCCGTCTGTCTGTCTGTCTGTCTGTCTGTCTGTCTGTCTGTCTGTCGTCTGTCTGTCTGTCTGTCTGTCCGTCGTCCATGTAAGAGGAAGGAGATGAGCAAGAGGTCTGCAAATTTCAGGGTATCTTAGGGGTCACTCCTGGACAACGAAACGCCTGGTGCAAATCCTGTCGACCATCCGTAAGGGGGTGAAAGGGGGTAACAAAGAAATAGGGGTTGGTCCAAAAAGTAGAAAATCAAATTTTTTTTTATGGTCCCCTAAGGGGTTAATCGTGAAAGTAGAATCCTTTGCCCTAAATTTCGTCCGTTTGCCTCTATCTTGCACCGTTTGGGCGCTAGAGAGGTTTTTACGACGAAAATACGGTGAAAATGACCACGTTGCACATGAAGACGTACAAGGAGGCGTCCAATCGTAAAATGTCAGAGGAAGTACCCCCCCAAAACAGCACATTCTGAGTTTGTTTGTGCCCTCCGATTTGCCGTATCTTTAACCGTTTAGGAGCTAGAGGTAGATATATTGAAAACAATTGCAAAAAGTCAAGTTTAAAGACTGTTTGACAAACAATAATATACAATCTAGGGTTGCGAAATTACCGGTAACAATCAATGTTACCGTAAATTACGGTAAAAATCGTAATTTACCGGAAATTTTGGAAAAATTGGAAAAATTCAATTTGAAGCAGAAAAATTGGCAATATACTATTTCTTGGCGATCGAAATTCGTGTGTACTGCCTAAAAAGTGACGGAATAGCCGGTCTTAGCTATACTTATCGGAATATTTGTGTTTTTCATCTTGTTCTCATCAACATCAGTTGTATATAGAGTTACCAGAAGTACACCTATAAAAATCGTTACTCAAAGCTATGCCTTTTAAACTTCAGAATAATGACAAATTTGCTATCTGGTCTCTGAAAAGTGACTAAAAAGGTGATAATATGTCATATTTACTATTCCAAATGAGACTTTTGCTTCTGAAAAGTGAGTTTTTAACTCATTTTGTAGGGTTATTATTACCGTTTTTTTCAACGTTACCAAGCTTCTGGTAAATTACCGTAAATTACCATTTTTTCCGGTAACGTTACCGGTAACATTACCGGCCGTCGCAACCCTAATACAATCTGGGCGTGATCTTTTTTTAAATTCTTAAGCAAAGCAGAAGGGTGGGGTGTAGTCACGGTGTTGCCCCGTTACAGTCTTTTGTCATGTCAAAGGAGCAAATTTCTAGGGCCGCAGGCCCCCTACCGGACGCGTTAGTTTACTCTAATATGCCAAGTGATTTACCGGTCACATTATTTATTTGATTATGCACTTCGGTAAATCGCGAGACTGAAATGCAGAGGGGCCCACGCAGGGGGTGTCCAACAACAAGACACCCTAGGCTTGGCCTGGACCCTTGTGCAGGGAAAAGGGTGCCAAACCAAAAGGTGTCCAGCAGCTGTGCGACTTAAGTTGCACAGGTTTTAGGGTCGGGCACCTTTTGTCGCAGTCGTTGGACACCCCGGATTTACAGCGTACAGGGTGGGTGATCCGTGCCGTGTTTTTTTCTGCTTATACTGTACCGGATTCTTGCGTGCGGAGGGGTTGCATACTCGCACGGGGCCATAGGACGACTTGGTGAGCGACGGTAGGCACGCCCGCCGGCACGCATGAATCCGGTACAGCATAAGCAGAAAAAAACACGAGGTACATCACCCACCCTGTACAAGTGCGTTTTGCCTGGTGTAACAT